TCCAACCCTTCAGGCAGTAAGGAAAAGGTTCATCCCTTCCATCTGGGACTCTTGGGCCTCTCACTGTCCAAGCTCTGCCCTGTGGCAGAGTACCGATCCTCTCAAAAGTTTCTGAGTCAACCATTGTGTACAGCACGTGGGGTATACAAAAAGGAAAAGACAAGGTCTACATCCATCAATAGTCTAGCTACAGAAGACTTAGAAAATGAGACTTGAGCGTAAAGGTGATTTAGTTAGTTGTCCAATGTGTGGTACTCTAGATTCTGTAAGTTGCCATATGCTCATAGAAGGGAAAGATTATCCAGAACTTGATTATTTGACTGACAGGATCACTTCAGGGTGGGCCTTTTAAAAAAGAAGAGGAATTTGAATAATGAGAGAATAGGGAGCTATTTTTGGAATCTGGGAAAAGAGCAGACCGAAGGCCTGGAAAGAAGAAAAAACTATTTTGGGAGTTAATGAGAAAGCATGGCTGGTGTGGCCATTTTTCTTGCTAGAGTTAGTTTGGAGAGGTAGCTTTGGAAAATAACCAGTGGCGAGTGGTTGGTGAGTTTAGGTGGTGGTGTGACTGTTAGAAGCATGTGAAGTGGAGCCCATGACTTGTTGCAAGTGAGGTAGCTAATGCTTAAGTGGGCTATGGGAGGGATGGGGAGGAAAGGACAGGAGAGAGGTGTGGGAATTGGGGAGAATTCCAGAAGAGAATGATCTGATGTGTCCAGCTCCAGAGGGAATATGAGGAGCTGTTTGGTTAAGACTTAGCATGGACATCTATTTTTGGTGAACTATTTTTTGACCATGTGAATAAATAATGGGCGTGAAGGACAGATTTTATACTGGAAGTGCAGGTTTGGTGTGGAGATATCATTGTTAGGAAACACCTCAAATTAGAGAGGAACCATCCCTCTTATGGAATTTGAGGGGAAAAAAATCAGGGTCTTGAACCAAGCACCTGAGTAAGATGTTTCATGTAAAGTAATTTCCACACTTCTGTGAAGTAAATCTGTCACAGAACAGTGGGAGCCAGGGTTCAAGTCCACTTACTAATGGCATGATACTGGACAGGATACTTCACCTCTTGGTACCTCTTTCCTCATCTGTGAAATGAAGATGATAAAAAATACCTACTTCATAGGGTTATTAAGGGATTAGATACGTAATTATTTTGTAAAGTGCTTTAAATTTTTGCTTTTGTTACATGTGTTTCACGTTACACATTACACTTAAAATTTTCAGTTCACTAGTCTAGAGGAGATGATACGTAAAATATGTAGGACTGTTATTTATAAAATGAATGCCAAAATTTTGCATTTCAAGTTTTTGATCACTAATTTCACTGCAAGTACTTCAGATGCTCCAAAATAGCTCCTGTCCATGGACACAAATTGCACTTTTTCCTTCAATATACATACTTAATAATGGAATTATTAATAATGCACTTAAATATGGGCCAAAGGCTCCTCCTCCTCCAAAAAAAAAAAAAGCATAGAAATTAAATGCAAAAAGCAAAAAAAAAAAAAAAGAAATTAAATGCAAGAAGAACAAAAAAGGTGTGCCTGGATGGCTTAGTCAGTTGAATGTCCAACTCTTGATTTTGGCTCAGGTTGTGATCTTAGGGTTGTGAGATCGAGCCCCGCGTTGGGCTCCCCGCTCAGCACAGAGTCTACTTGGGATTCTCTCTCTCCCTCTGCCCATCCTCCTGCTTGTGTGCGCACACACAAGTGCACGCTCTTTCTCTCTGCCTCAAATAAATAAATCTTTTAAAAACATACAGTTTACATGGTACAGTATATATGGGTAACCCAAAGCCTGGAAAATGGGATTTTGTTAACAGAATTAAATATTCTTATTCATAAGCAACTTTTGTTTTCTATAAGTCATGCACTAATGTACATAATAAGTACCATAGAAATGTTTTTGAAAAGCAGAGTCTTCTGCACACCTTCCTAATGAAATGAAGACTCAGAGGACAGGGACCTGCCCACAGTGACCCACCCTCAACAGAGAGGGTTGTTGCTGATATGATGGCTCTTGGGGTTTTTTTGTTTGTTTGTTTTTTGTTTTTGTTTTTTTTTAAAGATTTTATTTATTCATTCGAGACACAGAGATAGAGAGAGCATGAGCAGAGGGAGAAGCAGGCTCCCCGCTGAGCCAGGAGCCGGACGTGGGGCTCGATCCCAAGACCCCGGGATCACGACCTGAGCCGAAGGCAGATGCTTAACCATCTGAGCCACCCAGGCGCCTTTTTGTTTGTTTTTTTGCTTTTATGATGGCCCTTGTTTATCTGACTCCAGTATCCTGGACCTCTTCACTCTTTGTGTAAAATGTGGACAAGGTGACCAAAGCATGAGTCCTGGAGGGGCATGAGAACCAGGATAGCACTGTTTTAGGAACACACAGGGGGGTTTTAGGGAACAGTGTCGTACTACAATTGGAAAAGTGAAAACCAGGAGAGAGCCCTGTGGCCATACAGCACTCAAATGAGGCCTGGGAGTGTCTGAAATTGCCGTTGTGTGGCCAGTGCTAAATGCAACAACGGAGACACTTGAACTAGCTGCTCTAGGGTAGTGGTTTTCAGTGTCCCAGGCCAGCAGCATGAGCGTCACCTGGGAGTCTGTTAGTGCAAAGATAGGAACTCTGGTGCCTTTAGAGCATGTCAAAGGAAACATGGTGCTAGGAAAGTAGGGGGTCATCTTTAAATCAAGTGAATAAGGAAGACATCTCAGGAAGTAACATTAAAGCCAAGGCCTGAAGGTGGTGAAGGAACTAGGTGAGTGGGAAGGAAGAGCCCTGGGGAATGTGCAGAGGCCCTGAAGCTGGGAGGAGCTTGACATAGGCAAGATATGTGGCTTGAACTTAAGCAGGGGGGCCAGGACACTCCAGGCTTGTAAGCCTTGATGGGGGTGGGACACAATTTGAGGAGCAATGGGAGGCCACTGGCATCTGCACAGTGGTGAGAATTGATCTGTTTTCATTTTTACAAAAATTGTTCTGATTGCTGGGTGGAGGACACAGGAGATACTGAGAGAAGGGTTGAGCCTTGGAAAAGAGCTACCCTTCTTCCTCTTAAGAAAATGTAGACTCCGATATTTTCAGGTGAAGGGGAAATGGTGCTCACATTGAATGGGGCTCACTCAGGAGTTTTGGTGCCAGACGAGCAGCACTAAGTGTTGAGTTGGTGCTAGCAATTTGTACTGAGCCAAGATGGTAGGATTTCGTGTTTTTGCAACATTAGGTGTACCGCCCAAGAGTAGGAATGGGTGAATTAGAACAATGATTATCCAGAATTGGAGATGGAACTGGTGTGCCTGGGGAGGGATTGACAGAGAATGTTTACAGCGGGAAGGGTATTTGGGGGGGGTGGGAGATGGGAGCAGAAAGAACAGACCAGCTGCAACGGAGAGAAGTGCCTGTGGGGACTTGTTGAAGGTGTGGAAATGGGTCAGTGGCTGAAATGTAGATGATCAGCCTTGTCCAAAAACAAAAAAAAACTCTTTTAACAGGTTACTTTGGATTTTCATGGAGAATTTGAAAGCAAAATGGCTGAACTCATTTTTAAATTAAAATAGAAAAAACTTTGAGTTCTCTTTAAAGGTTCTTGTGGCCTGATGCCAGAGATAGAAACACAAGTCAGAGAATGACCCACTAGGTCGTGACATGTTTGTTCACTTTTTCCACTTGAGATGGGTACTGCCTATTTAAAAAAAAAAAAACAAAACTTAAAGTAATCTCTACCGCCATCGTGGGGCTCCCGCTCACAACCCCAAGCTCCAGAGTTGCACCTTCCCCTAACAGAGCCAGCCAGGCAGCACTGCTTCATATTTTACCTCTTAGTTTGGCCCTTACGTTAGGTGCTCTGCTCAGGTCCTGAGTGCACAGAGCCGCTATAGGACTGAGCATAGTCTGGGCGGGCCGGGCAAAGGGAAGATAAAGATAGCTCCATTGGCCTTGCTGAATGTAAAGAAGGCCTGTGAAATTTTGGTTATTGCCCTCCTGTGGCCAATCCTGGAAACAGCAGCCGAGAAACTTGTGTTCTATTTTAAGTAATCTCCATGCCCAACATGGGGCTCCAACTCGTGACCCCAAGATCCGGAGTCTCACATACACTACTGAGCCTGCCAAGTGCCCCAAAATGAGCTGTTTGTAGTGTTTTGTTTTTTTAATCTCTATACCCAACGTGGGGCTCAAAACTTCGACCTAGAGATCGAGTCACATGCTTTACTGACTGGGCCAGCCAGACACCCCTGAAGACCACTCCTCTTAACCCATGCCCCCATAGCCCCCCACCTTCCTCCCCAAAATGCACTATCCTTCTAATTTCTAGTTTCAAGAATAGCAGAAATTCCTATTTGAAGTTAATCCTGTCCATGTTCTGATCTCCAAAACGTCTCTCTCAGACCTTACTCCATCAACACAACTAACACCTGTCCTTACGAACCCAACACCATCAGGCAGTAGGCCTAGTGAGGTCTCCTCCGCAGAGCCACTTTCTGGGGCAAGAGCAGCCTACGCTGTTCTGTTCTTCTCTCTTTGTCCACTGAAACTGCTCTTAAAAGGAGCCACCAGTTTTTTTCTTCCCCCAGAAACTGCTCTGGGGAGTTTTCCTCCTTCCACTCTCCGTGCTCCTTCCACCCACCCTCACTTAAATTCCTTTCCTAGGCAACTCCACAGGGATGGTAGGTTCAACTGGAGGTGGAACGAATGTCCACCCACACCATCGGCAGCTCCAGTGATCTGTGAAAAGCTGTTTCCCTAGGTCCCAAGGCTTGCTCAAAGAATGTTGACCCATGGGATTTACTCTGTACCTGTGGTCTTTTATGTTCAAAGTATTCCTTCACCAGTATCTCACTTAATACCCACACTGACCTCACAGCAGAACAAATGTTAGCTCCTCAAAGGGACTGAATAACGGATTCCACGGAGGGTTGTACTAATGTACTTAAGGCAGCAGACAATGGCTGGGTTTTTGTTTTTTTAAACAAAGAGCCCAAACACACTAGGGGTTAAATAAGCTGCTTCTCTTTCCACTGTTTATTATTAATGTACAAAATATACAAAACCAAAAGAAAAAAATACTCATCCCTCAAATCCATCGTGGCTCTAACCCAAGACCCTGCACAAAAGCCAACCGATCCACTGTTTTCATAGAAAACAAACTGATGCCGAGACCTGGGAAGGAGAGGGCTGGGGAAGGGCACGTCAGCTTGCGGCACCCACCCAGGAAGGCACCTGGTGGGACCCAGAGGTGGCTGACAGGGCAAGGGAGCTGGAGGCCTCGCACCAACGAGGTTCCAGCTGGGGGCAGAGCGCGCCAACTCCTGAAGGCAGTGCGTGTAGTGTGACTCTCAGGCCCAGAATGCGGGCAAGTTGATGGAAAGCTGGTCTCACTGAAGTGTTTTTACAAAGTTTCCAGAATGAGCTGCAGGCAAGGGCGGGCCACCACCCCCAGCCTCACCCGTGCCAGCTACAACTTCCACTGGATGCGGACGTGAATTGACCATCACTGAACCTAGCAGACCCATGATGCAGACCTGGGTGTTCACAGAAGGTTGCGAAGTCGTACTTGAGAAGGGACTCAATGGAAAGCCTGTGCCAGGGCAGAAGTGGGGAGGATGTGTTCCAGAACTCAAATCCAGCCTGATTGAGCCCTCTCAGTGCAGTGGGGTATCTAATACCCCTTTTACCATCTCCCCACCCCATGAGAAGAATGAACTTGGCTGGGATGATTTCATAAGTGCAGCTGATCCCGTGTCAGTTCTGTGTGCATGTGGAGGACCCACAACAGGAGAGTAGAGGTGCTCTCCAGGATAACCAGCTTTAGGTTCTCAGGCATAAAGGGTAATACTGGAAAGGGGCTTGGGGTTATAGGGCAAATCTCCTCAAAAAAATGAAGCCAACTGGGTCTTCTCTTCAGCAGTCCAGGGTACAGAATGTATCCAGTCTCTCTCCTCCTCAGACTGGAGGAAAGTATGTACATCAATGCGCACCAGTGATCAGAAAACCCCCAGCAACCCAAGCAGGTGGGAACTGAGGGGGCCGGCTCCTCCTCAGCTGGGGACAGGGGAACGTGGGCCTCACAGAAGCCATAACAGGGCGGAAGGAGCGAGGCTGCAGTCCACAGGGGTGTGTGTGGGTGGGGCAGAGGCGGCGGTCCCTAGGGCAGGGGGGGCCCATTGACCCCCGGGTGGTAGAAGGCACAGTTGTTCTCGTAGCGGCAGTTGCCCTTCATCATGAAATGTCGGCAAACAGGGCGGTTTGACATGTCTGTGGGAATGATGGCGGAGTCGTTAGAACACGGCCAAGAGGTCGATGCCACCCTCGCACGCCAACCCCACCCCGTCCACAGCATCCTGAAAACTATCTTTCAGGGGGACATGGAATCCTACGGATTTGAGGAAAGGGCCAAGGGTAGCAACTGCCAGGCATACTGAAAACAGGGTGATTTCATGTCTGGCCTAGCACACCCAGGGTAGTGATACTCCCCCAAAACTTGCAGGGGACACCAAAAGCCATGTAGTACCGAGCAGGAACCATTCTCACCTCCTCCATGGCTGTGGCCTCCATCGTGCCCTCGGTGGCCCCCTCCTCCGTGGCCAGGGCCATCATGGCCACGGTGCTCATGAGGTGGTGGCCCTCGATGGTCATGGCCTCGGTGACCAGGGACATCATGAGGCCGGTGGCCATGGGGCCCCCCATGTCCAGGACCTTCATGGGGGCGATGTCCACCACTTCCACCCATGCTCCCACCAGGGCCTTCATGGGGGCGATGTCCACCTCCAGCACCCATTCCTCCACCAGGACCTTCATGGGGGCGATGTCCACTGCCTCCACCCATGCCACTGCCAGGGCCTTCGTGGGGGCGATGGCCACTGCCACTGCCCATGCCACCACCAGGGCCTTCATGGGGACGATGTCCCCCACCTCCACCCATGCTACCGCCTGGGCCTTCGTGGGGGCGGTGCCCACCACCCATGCCACTGCCAGGGCCTTCGTGGGGGCGGTGTCCACTGCTGCTGCTCATGCCCCCACCAGGGCCTTCATGGGGACGATGCCCACCACCTCCAACCATGCCCCCACCAGGGCCCCCTCGTCCATTTGGGGGTCCTCCTCCAGAGCGACCTCCTCTGGCCCCCCGGAAGGGAGGAGGAGGCGGCGGTTCACTTCCTCCTCGGCCACCACGGCCTCTGTGGTATGGTCCAGGACCTGGTCCTGGACCCCCCCGCATTGGGCCACCCCGCATGGGGTCACCTGGGCCATCCCAGAAGGGATCACCCCCTCGTGGAGGGGGTGGGGGACCCAAGAGACGTGGACCCACTGGCCCACCAGGGCCTCCGTGAGGACCTGTGAGGGAAAGAGAGACATTATCAGCTACCTGTTACACTCAGGGATGGCCCCTCCCAGCCTAAACCACCTCCCACCTTTGGGTCAATCCTACACGATTACCAGGCCAAAATTAAGCAGGTAAACCCATTCCAACCTCTCACCACCTACCTGGCATAGGTCCCCCAGGCCCAGGGGGGAAGTGTTGCATGGCCTTGGGGCCCCCAGGGCCTCCTGGTGGGAAACCATTGGCTATTGGACCAGGGCCTAAGAGTCCATGTGGCACTATTTAAAAAAAAAAAAAAAAAAAAAATAGTAGAGCAAGAGGATTCTAGAAGAGGCATGACTTCCTACTTAGATGTGCCTCTGGCCCTCTCAGACCAACTTGGCAGAGCAATGCTCTGTCCAGTCTTGCCCTCCCACCCAGCGGCAATACCCCTGGCTTCCCACTCACCCCCAACTCCACAGTAGGCTTCCTCCCCCAGGCCCCAGGGCTGGCCCTGGTGATTACCGAGCATCTGCTTAATCTTGTCTGAATAGTCTGGTTGCTTGAGCAGTTCCTCTGAAGGATGACTATTTGGGCTACCCTGTGAGGCAAGATGATTAAAGAGCAAGGTCAATAAAATGCAAGGCAGAGAAAAGAGCCAGATGAGGAGGTAAGTGAGAAGATGAGTACTGGGGTAAAAAGAGAGGCAGATTCCAGAGACAGTGGGAAAGAGAAAGGCGGGCTCATACCATGATGGAGGTGAGGATCTCTTGCACATTGATGCCTCCTCCTCCAGGACCCTGGGGGCTCTTCCCAGCACCCATGCTTCCCATGAGATTGGCCAGGACAGGAGGCAACTTGGAGCCGCCTGCCCCATCAGGTGAGCCACCAGCTCCTCCAGGCTCCAGGGTCTCAATATACGGGGTCTCATCCATGGAACACTCCTGCAAGAACAGGAGAACAATCAGGACTAACTTGAAAGAATGAAGAGACATTCCATTTGAAATGGAAATGAAATGTTGAAAGACACATTAAAATCGGTCACAATCTCCATCCCCACATAGCGTGTGCTCACCTCATCTAGGGGGATGAGCTTCGGGGGGACAGGTTCATAGGGCTCAGGATCAGGTTCATGAGGACTATTAGGAATGCCGGGAAAAAAAAGAATGACAGTCAAATTATTTATTCAAGCCCTCACATTCCCTCCTAGCCTCCACCTGCATCTTAATTACCCAGGGCATGTTCCCCTCAGGGGTCCAAGCACTTAACACGAACATGGTTCATGCCGCCCAGGGTGGGAACCGTGTTTTGCTCACCTTTCCTTGTTCAGGAAGAGCTCCTGAAGGATTCCTTTCTCCCGTTCAGCCTGGATATATCGCTCCTGGCTGTTGCTTCCAGGGGTGACAAGGGGTGAGGGCAGAACCAGGGGCCGCGGGCATACCCAGGGCACCTTCTCCTCCATGTTGTCATGGCTCAGACGCCGGGCCGTCTCAAATGCGTGTCGGTCTGACAGTATCTCTCGCTTAGCTGCCTCGCCAAAGTCCTTGATCTTATTCACATTTACTATTGGCAAGGAGAAGAAAGAGAAAAAGTAAACACAACCCAGTCCTTTTTAAACTCTCTATACCCACTTTCTACACAAGAATCTTGACTGCTAACCTCGTTCAGTTTCATCCAGTTCAAAATAGAAATATTCTCTCAGTTTGCCCTCCTCAGGCCACGTCACAGTCTTCCTCTTCCTGCCTTTCCGGGTCAGCTGGCTGGGATCTCCAGGACTCTCTACTGGCTTTGCATCCAGTGCTCCTGGCTCCAAAGAGGCTGTAAGCAGGAGAGGTTTCAGACCCAGGTCCTTCCTTTCAGAAAACCCCCAAACCTGAACCAATTTCTAGACTTACCTGTATCCATGAGCTCTGGGACTTCAACAGGGGGAACTGGGGTGCCTGGGCGGTCTGTGTCCATAGCCTCACAAAGAGGTGCTGGTTCTGGGGAAGAAGGTTTGGCTGTGCTTGGTTCTGTGCTCGTTTTCCCTTCAAATGGGCTTGGCTATCGTGAAAGAAAAAGAAGTTAATGAGCAGACATGAAAGCCAAGGTTAAGGTAAGGCAATTAGTCCAAGGTCCTGGACAGGATCCCCCATGAGTTCTTATAAAGGAAGACTCTGCCTCTCATACTGCCGACCCATCCCCATCCCAGTGGTTGTCCTCCCCAACCACTCCTAGCTGCTGAGCCCTTCCTTCTACTTTACTTTTGACACCCTGTCACGTGACACCTACAGCCCAGGGCTCAAACCTTGGCAGCTGTAGGTGACAGCACCTTCTTCTTCTTCTTAATTTTGATGCCTGGAACAGGGGCTGAATTGAGCGCATCCAGAAAGCCCAGGCCCTCCATTGCTATAAAAGGAAAAAGCATAAAAGGGAATCATCAGACCTCTTTCACAATCCTATTCCTATAGACAAAGTCTGGGCAGGAAGTGGGCCAATGGAGACCCTGCCCCAACTGAGGACATAGTAAGTTCAAGGTGACCAGGAAGCGTATGCTGGATTCACACAAGGAATTCTTGTTATTCTTTTGTTTTTAAGTAATCTCTACAAACAGTGTGGGTCTTGAACTCCCGACCTGGATAAAAAGAGTTGCATGCTCCTCCAACTGAGCCAGCCAGGTGCCCTTTCTTTTAAAGGCAGGCAACTCGAGGCTCTGAGTATGAACTGGAGCTCAGGTAACTGAAGAAGCCAGCCCCCGTGGACAGGACAGAATATCCCAAAGCTGGGAGTACCCCTAAATCAGTCACTGAATAGCACACCTCCATACCTCATCTCTATAGTTACTTTTAAGTAATCCTACGAAAGGGGAGCTCCAGAGGTGCAAAAGTTAATTAAGACACCAAGAAATCCATCCCCTACCACCCCCCAACATTCATTCCCATGAAGAGTTTGCTCCCAAAGTGCATTCCTCCACTTTAGACTCACGCTGTGGTGGGATGATCTTCACTTTGATCTCTTTGGTGGCATTCGGTGTGGTGTTCAGTGGCTTGTATTTCTTCTCTGCAGGAGGTGCAGCATCTCCTGGAGCAACTGTGGTGCTGTCAGAAGAGGAACCATCAACATCTCTGACTCACCCCTTCTTTCTCCCTCATGTCCACAGACCTAACCCATGCAGAAACCCAGGTGGTGGTCCATACCTCTGACGCTTGAGGGGGATGGGTTTAAGATTGTACTTGTCAGAAACTACCACGGCACTGGCATTCTTCTTCACAGGCACCAAAGATGGGGTCTCCAGCTCTAGCCCTGTGGGAAGAAACATGCTGTTGGGGTTGAACTCACTCCCACTCTCTTAACTCTTCCTCCCTGGTCCAACCCTAAATCTTCATCTAGCCCAAGTTTCACCCACCAATCCTAACCTCTTCCATGTGTGCCCTATCATAAATCAGCTATTCTACTACAAGGTCCTAGGTGTACATCTGCCCACAGACCCTCCCAAGACCAGCCAACAGCCCTACCAGTGGAACGGAATTTGGCGTGACTGGGTGCCGTCGTTCGGAGAGACTTCGGCTTCTCTTTCTTCTTCTCTGGGGCCTCCTCAGCCCGGGTCTCAGCCTTCACCTCAGTCAAGGGTCGCTCAGGAGGGGTGGTTCGACTCTTCCCCTCTTCTTTACGTTTTTTCTTATCTTTCTCTGTTATGAAAAAACAAAGTAGAAAAGGATTTTACTTAAAGAGAAAGACTGTCAGAGGTGAAGCAGGCTAAAGACACTTGAAGGCCGTGTCCCAGTGGGAACGAAATAAATACGAGGGATAAAAGACTAAGGAGCTTACCAGCAGGCTGGGTACTGCTCTGGGAGCGGATGACAGCCATCCAGTCACTGACAAGGACTGAAGCCAATTTCCGGAGCTCTGCAGGTGAGAGTATAAGGGGAAATGCCTAAGTAGCTAAAAACGCTATTCTTCCAATAACAGAAAATAGAGATGTTTAAAGATATACTGTGAAAATCTATGTAAAAAAAATGTAACCAAGAGTTTTAAGAACATGACATAGGCTCACAAACCAAACTCTTCAAAATGGAACAATGAATCACACAGCAGTCTTCCATTCCAATCCAACCGGGGGGGGGGGAACGACATTAATTACATACATAGTACATTATAAAAACCACATCAGTGTTAATAAATTAAAAGAAACCGACATCAGTTTTTTACATAGATCTCATGTGGCTGTTATAACTTGAAGATTCTTATTCCTCCTTCACAGACAGACAGCAGAATAAAGATCAGAGTCAGAAAGCTAGGAAGCTGCAGAATGAAGCCAGTGCCGAACTAAAATCAGGAAAAAGGCAGGCAAGGTTCAAGTACCTGAAAAGCTAAGAACAGTATCACTCTATGTTGTCCTAAAGGCAAACCAAGTTTCAAGGAGGCAGATTTAGATCCATCTTTTTTTTTTTTTTTTAGATCCATTTTACAGAAGATTTCCTAAGCCACCTTTCTTCCTAGAATGCTACTAGTGATAATGGCTTAAAAAAAAAACAATTAAGTGTAGCAAAGGCGAAGAGCTTAAAGCAGACCACTTCAGGGATGGGGAAGGCTTTGTTTATTTGGAGAAAAAAGATGGGTAGAGAATTTAAAGATAAAGGATAAAATGTGTTTCCAAATATACAGAAAAGAACAAAAACCTTTACAGCTCTTGCCTTTCGTACTTGGCAAATAACATCTCTTATCTGTGGCATCCATCCTCTTGCCAACATTTCCACTTATAGACTCATTTAATAATGAGATTGTTGAAAACATTAAACCACAACTTTTCAAATACACAACTACCAATTTCTATACTTAAGGCAACATAAACTCCAGTGCATCCCCAATACAGGGATATCCTAAACCTTTTTGGACCACTTGATACTATGGTCTATTGAGACTTTAAGGTCTATAAGGAATGTACAAATTTCAGTATTCAAAGAAGTACAGAACAATTAAACCTATATTCAAAGGTGGCAGCACAATTGAGCTAACTGGAAAACAAGGAACACTATACCCGACAATAAAGAAACAAGAGATGAGCAATGATTTAATAGGACATTCTGTAATACGTGTTACATTACAAATTATTATTCAAGATACTCTGTAATGTCACAAATACAGAAGTTGCTCAGTATCTAAAAGGACCTAAAACCGAGAATGAATACAACTAAAAGAACAGAAAGCTAGAGAATGTTTTTCACTTAAACACTATGAATTAAACCCTTTATCTTGGTAAATATTCCCAGTGTTTTCTCCTACAGCTAAAGGAACTTCAGATAGGCTTACCCAGGCCTACATGCTCCTTTCACACCAAACTGCCAAAGCCTCTTTCCAAAAGGACCTAGCACACCATTCCCTTTAGACAAAAGAGTAAGCCTGTATTCTGATCAGGGGATTAGCTCCGCTAGAATACTGCTCACCTGTGGCACGCCAGTGTCTTCACTAGTGGTTTGTGCCCGGGGTATAAACCCTTTTCTTCACTAAAGAAAAGGCTGTGACTTTCTGGAGCCAGGCCCTGTCTTTAAGCCAGAACTGTATGGCCCTTGCCAAGGGCTCCAATACCCTTTGTCTTTTTTTTTTTTTT